TGGGTCAATAGGGGCGGGGTTACCATATATATATATATGTATATGTGTCGGGGCCCCTGCACCCCCCCCCCTCCCCCGGACTCAGGGGAGCCCAAACAGTCGTCGTTTTGTGGAAATGGATTTCCGTCACCGCGAACCGCAACAAATCCATGGGCAGTTCTCCAACTTAGGGTCCCTTTTTAGGTCCCCAATATGGCACGGCACCCTTGTAAAAAGGACCCTTCGAGGGACCCTAGTTTAGAGAACTACCCCCATGCAAAGGGAGGACCGCACAGGCGGGTGTCACAGCAATGATCCGACGCGACAGTTAGTGCTTCTGCTCACAGCGGAGAACCGAATCAGAGCAGGGAGAGGGGCACCATTTGCAAGGAGAACAGGGCAACGTCAAAGCCTGCACGAGCACCCTAACCATAACAGCACTTCTCGCAAACGGATGCAACCATACCTCTGTAGAACACACTGCCACCCTTCCCTTCTCTTAACTGCTCAGCAGCAACGCACAGCATGAGAGGATGGGGAAGACCAAGAAGTTGAGAGATCAACAACCCAAGCAAGACCACAAGCACCACAAGCCTGGTGGGGCGAACCACCCGGGGTCGGGAGAGGGGACAAGGCCAAACAAGAAGACCACTCACATGACAGGCAACGGGGGGTAATACCATGAAACGGAGATGGAGCGAGGGAAGGCGCGGGCGGGGCAGCAGCATTATGTGTATGTATATGTATACATATATACATATATACATATATACATATATACATATACATATATATATATACACACACACGCATATAGCATATATATATATATATATACAAATGCGAAAAAGGCCGGCCTTTCTCTCGTGATCGCCACCTTTGGATAGGCAGGCGCAGGAATAAAGAGGCCCTTCAAGGGTTGCTCGCTTGCATCGGACTCGACGATGGTGTCAACGGCACGTTGTAAGACCTGGCCAAAGTCGCCGGAAACAACTATAATATTATAAATTGCTTTATATTATATATTATATTTTTCTTTGTGTATATATATATATTATATTAACAAGCAGCGAGTGTTGTCCCTTCAAAGTTGGATGAAACGAGAGAGTCACCCTACCAAGCCTCTTCGCCGTGCTTCTCGATCTCCTCCCTCCCTTTTTGAATGGCCTCCCGCACAACTTCCCCGTGCTTCTCGATCTCTTCTCTGCCTTTTTGAATCGCGTCCCGCATGAGGTCTGTCGGGGACACCGACGAATCTCCATCCTTTTCATCCTTTTCCTCGGCAGACATGGCCTCAGTTGCTGCCTGAGGTGAGCACAGTTTCCTGTAGCTTTCGTTCGGTTGGGATTTGCAGTCTGGTGGCATAGTCTCGGGTGGACTCAGGGGGGCCTAAGTTGGCGAGCATTTTGAGGCATTGAAGCATTGAAGCTTTTCCGGAGAGTTACAAACATTGTCATAGTCATCATGTCGGACCCTAGATGATAATGAGAAGAGACATGTTGGGTCTGAGTCGAGCCAATGCCTGCAGAAGCGAAAACTGGACTTGGGAACTTCTTCGCGTTCCTCCCCCGCTTCGATACAACCATGAGGCTGTGGAAGCACTGAGCAAGTCGCGCATTCAAGAGTTTGCCGATGGGACTGGGGAAGAGGTCGAACTGGTTGGACAGAAAAACTTCCGTCGCAGGAGCTCGTACTGTGAACCTGCCACGTGGCATCGCGATTTCTGACACCTCGTCACAAGGATGGCCTAATACCTCAAGAATGTCGCCAGCCCCACTCCCAGCGCGCAAGATGAAGATCCGGCGAGTCGATGATCTTCGGTAGCCTCAGAAAGCTTGTGACCACACACATCCACAAAAAACAGCTCGCGGCGAGACACTACACTGCCTGAATCCACAGGAAAGCACAGGCCATTACAATTGTGGCTCTCAGGCTGCAGGAGTAGAGCGAAGTTGTAGTGAAACCGACGACACCATTGGAAAAAGCGAAGCTGGTCCCTGATATTCACTGATAACACAGATAATAACAATGATGATGATGATGATGACGATGATGATTATGATGATGATGAGGAGGAGGAGGAGGGGAAGAGGCTGGTGATGATGATGATGACGATGATGACGAAGATGACGAAGATGACGATGATGACGATGATGATCATGATGATCATGATGAGGAGGAGGAGAATGGTGATGATAATGATGATGACGACGATGATGACAAGATCACGATGATGACGAAGATGAAGAAGAAGATGAAGATGAAGATGAAGATGATGAGGATCAGGATCAGAATGAGGATGAGGGTGATGATGATGATGATGTCATGATGCAATGGTGCAGTGATGGCGAGAAAATGAAGAAATTCAGGATGCTAGTGGTGATGACGCTCATAACACCAAGGCCATCACCAGCACCAGTAGTAATTAGTACTCGGACTGATAACACTACTAGGATGCGAACTGTTAGCATCATTCGTATTCGCACTCGTACTAGTAGAAGTGCAAACACACTCTCGTGTACTACAACTGGCAATGGAAACGTTACGACTCATGATCGTACTCGCACCACTACATTTACCAGACGGGGGCAGTACTACTGGTAGTAGAAGAAGTTGGCTGCTGTTGCTTCCTTTCTCGTCGTAGACAGAGCGGGAGGAGAGTAAGTGGTAGTCGTTGCAGTGGTCGCGGCCACATGTCCTGGGATGCCTGCTGCCTCAAGTGCAATACCTCGTCAAAGTGGTCCGACATGGCGAAAGCCGCCTGCATCAAAACGTTTGATTAGAAGAAGCATCAGCATTGCCTGTCACAGAGATGTCAAGGGCGACGACACCCAAACCACGGCTCCAACCTGGAAACCGAACAGCCCCGGCAAGTTTACCAGACCCTCCGAGCCTGCAAAAGACTGCATACTGTCAGGGCCTGGCAGCAGCGCAGGTCAAACTATATCGGGATGCGTAGGTGTTGTTCAAACATACATGCCCACACACACACACACAAAGATATGCTCAACCCCGTCCTGTGTAAAAAAACATGTATCTGAATGGGTACCTCATTGAGATACATATTTTGGATACACAGAAGTACAACATATACATGTTACAAGTATGCGTACGTGACATGGATAAGGGGATGGATGGATGCCTGGGTGGCTAGATGGACAGATAGACAGGTAGGTAGGTAGGTAGGTAGGTAGGTAGGTAGGTAGGTAGGTAGGTACGTAGGTAAGTAAGTAGGTAGGTAGGTAAAGCGCTTCTGGAGCCTCAGCCCATCCCATTCAAAATGATTTTAAAAATTCAATAACTTGAATCCCCTCGATTCAAATGACTTAACTGAAACATATTCGGATGCTTCACAATTTAAGTAAGTTACATCAGCTCCCTTCCCTTCCTCCTCCACCGTATTTATCTTATTTTAAACAGAATACAACAATTTAAATCCGCTCGACTGAAATTATTCAAACAAATTGAATTATCTCGGAACTGCAATAATTCCATCAGTTTAAATCACCTCGATTTACAATATCTAGACTATTTTAAATTGTCTAAATTATTTAACTGTTTCAATCGGGGTGGAGGAGGAAGGGGAGGGGATTGATGTACATTATTTGAGTTATTATCGGATGCTCCAAAATTTGAATAAGTTCAATAATTTAAATCAGCTCCTTTCCCTTCCTCCTCCTACATCCTATTTAAAATAGTTTAAACAGTTTAAATATTTTTAAATAGTTTAAATCCGCTCGGTTTAAGATTTTCTTCTGATTTAAAATCGTTTAAATACTTCAAAAAAATTTTTAATCCGCTCGATGTAAATTATTTTGATTATTGAAAGTATTTTAAATCGGGTGGGGGAGGAAGGGGAGGGGGGTTGAATTAATTTGTATACATTATTCAAATTATTTTCGGATGTTTCACAATTTAGATTTTCTAAATCATTTAAACCAGCTCCCTTCCCCAAAGTATATGGAACGACAAAACAACACATTAACAAACATGTACATGCAGATATATATATATATATGTTTTTCTGTATATGGTATATGTATGTATATGGTCATACATATATGTACAGCTATTTCCTCAAATTCCATCATAGTACACGATGCTTGATTGTTCTTGATTTGCAACGTGCTGGACTAGCTACTCCTGATTACTGCAATGTGCACTCTATTGCGTAAGCAAAACTACTTTTTCGTGGATTGCCAACTCGCCTATTTCAAAACCGTACTTGCGCTAGATCATGTGATGTGTGCTATGCTGTCGAATTTTTTGTAGTATAGTCGAGATGTAGTCAACTACAGCATACAGGAAGGCTTCTGCTAGACAGCATTCGCTAAGTTCTGACCCCGTTGCAATCCACCTTCAGGCAATTACACAGCACAGAAACGATGCCCCGCACGAAGGGCGAAATCGTAACACGCTAGTCTGCTTTCGGTTCAGCACGAATCACACGAACTACATGTCAAAACATGCGCTATCGTACTCTCAGCTATGCTTGGCTGAGATATGCTTTTTGAGGTTTTTGCCTCTGACAAATTCCGATACCTGCAAAATGCCTACAACACTTAGGCCACCACAACATGCCATGCTAAACTCCGTTCTGTGATGTTTATGCGGTGCATTGCAGTGATAACTGAGCTCCTACTAGATCCAACTATGTCATGCTGCGGTGTACATGAACAAGTTCTGGTACACCATGTTGCGCCACGAGGTACTATATCTTGCTCAGCGGTACTACGACGTTACTACGATCCACATCATGATTACGGCCAAGCTCACCCGCACAGACACACACACACACACAAGAGAGAGAGAGAGAGATACAGAGACACAGAGATTGAATGAGAAAGAGGCTGACAACCAAAAATGCACCAGGTTCCCGGCTGGAAACCATCCGGTCACTGCGCACGGCGGCATCTCGGAGAGATCTGATTTGCGGAACAACTTTCAACTTGCGTTTGCATAGGTTGGAGAGAAATATGGAGAGATGCAATAGTCATGTGTCCAAAAGCTGTGCTCAGCTACTCGAGTTCGCAACTTCGCTACAGTGCCGCTACAGCTTGTGTTGGCCTTGCTTTGAGTCAATGGCATCTGCCGTGCCAACAGATGACGAAGGATCGTGTGCTGCTTCCCGGAGTGCATGACGTCTTAGGCGCCAGATACTTCTCAAGACAGTTGCACTTGGGCTACCCCGGAAAGGCATGAACAGAGCAGTTGGCATTCTTCTCTCGTGACTTTTTGTGCTGCGCGAAAATTGATCAAGGAGCAACAAGGCGATGATGTTCAGACCTTGTTCAATATTCGGCCGAGTCCACCCCTCAGGGCGGTCAGTGTTCCGGGTGGCCCGGAAGGCAACGCTTTGCCTGCCTGATCCGGCGGCCGCTCGTACTGGTGGATCCCACCACGCTCTAAATCCCGAATTCTGGAACTGAGATCCTCTCTCTCCTTGTCCTGCTCCAGAAGTCTCTTTTGAAGTTTCTGCTGGAGCTGCACTGCCCGAAAGACTGCCTCGGCCACAGGCTCCATGTTGCCTGCATCGAGGCCACCCTTGTCGGCCAAGAGCTGTACTCCTAAAGCAGCATTCATGTCCCGGAGCCGCTCACTCTGCTGGCTCAAGACCTTCTGTGCCGCCTGCCACATCACTGCGAGATTCTCCAAGCTCCAATCCGGCACATGCCCGCCTGAAGGCCAGCGTGCCGCCCTTCCACATCGTCGAGGCCCTCGAGCTCCGGCGCCAGAGCATCCAAGCGAGCCTCGCGTGCAAAGCTGGGAATGCGAATCTCCCTCAAAAACACCTGCAATCACAACCGGCCTGCATGTCGGCACACTCCTGGATCAGCTTCACCCGGTCCTGGTCAGCTGTTCGCCGCGCATTCTCCTGTGCCGAGGATGACGTACCGGCTTGCATGTTGCGAACAGTAGGAACCCATCAAGGCCCCGGCGAGGCCCCCAACACGGCGTATGAAGCCCTCGGACTGCGATGCGATGGCTTCACGCAGGGCGCTGCCTGGCAGGCACCCGGGTCCCCAACCCCGCGAAACGGCGCCGCACCGCGCCTGCATCCTCGAAATCCACACGTGCGGACTGGAGCTCGGCTTTCTCCTGGCGGTGTCCGTGCTGGGCTAACGGCTAACTCTCAAGAATCGTCCATCTCCTCGGAAACCTGTTTCAGCCGAGCACTCAGGGAGGCCTCAACACATTGCAGAACGCGATGGCACAGTATCGCCTCTGGCAGATCCAGGCCTCCGTTTTCTCCAGCTGTTGCAGACGGAGAAACTGGGCAGTTTGGGACTGTCTGAGAAAGGCGTAGAAACGCTCGGCGTTCAGGGCGCGGGGCCTCAGAGTTGGCCTCTTTCTGGACTTCTGCCAGCCAGTCCAGCTCCTCCTTCGGGGGCTCGTCCTTTTCGAAGTTTTCCGCTTCCTGCGCCTCCGGACCTCAGAGGTACCACGCCACAGGGCGATGAGACGCGGCGCGAGACGCATCCGTCCTGCCTTCGTCCAGGCCTTCGATGGGCTCCAGGACCCGCGCAGCCCAGGAGTCAGCCAGGGCCTGGCGAAGCCGCGCAGCCTCGGCCTGGCGTTCGAGAAAGGACTTAGGAAAGCGCATCTCTCAGAATAAGATCACATTGATATCACATCTCTTCGTCTCATCTTCTTCCCCGCCAGGTCAAACCGCCAGGTCAAACCCCCCGGCCTTTTGGCCCCCCCCAACTTCTTATTATGGGGCTGTGATTCCTCCTCTCTCTCTCCCCTGAACCCCTAAACCCCTAAACCCCAAAAAAAACCCAAAAAACCCCTCTCATCTCATCTCCCCTCCCCCTCTCTTGCTTGCTTGCTTGCACGCCGTTTAGAGAGCAGAGTTGCCCCTGCCCTCTTGCGCTCTCGCACCACGGCTCTGTCTGTCCACTGGCAGTCGGCGTGAGACAACTGGGGAGTCGGCACTCATGGAAAGCCCCCTTTCGTACGCAACAGCACAAACCCCGCATGGCAATGCATCCACTGTCCCCGCCTTGGCCTAGCCGATTGTGCCGACTCCCTCTCTATGCTGTGACTTGGCATCCCCGTCGTTGCGGGGATACTGGCTTGGAGGTGATGCTTTTGGTAGAAACGGTCCTTTACACAGCACTGCAACACAAGCACCGGACTTTGTAGCCCCCTCCGACCTGTTGCATCTATGCTACAGTGTTGGTTTGTGGGTTAAGTGGGTGTGACTGTTGGCACGGGACCCCGGGAGGAAGCACACGGGGGCAGGGTAAAGAAACCAAGTAGGGGGCCAACATATAACTTCAGGGGAGGTCCCCGTGCCAGTGGAGGTTGTGCTGTGGGTGAGCCGTTGCCTGTGGGGAGGGAAGCAAGAGGGCAGGGTATAGAGCACCTAGGGGAACATCACATACACTTAGGCCCCGGCTCACGTTGGCGGTGGTGTTGCGGTGTGTTGCTCCTACCTCCCCTTACCTGTGGCTGCATGCGGCATGTATGCAAAAAGTCCTACCCGAAGGCAAGCCCCGGTAAGCCCCGATAACGCTCAAACTAGTCGTCTGCCATCGCCGCATGCAACCTTCTGCGTCTGTGGGACGTGGCTTCCGTCCCGCTCTGCCTTTCAGCTGTTTCACCCCCTTGCTCAGTAGTCAGGGTGGTAGTTCTGCGTCGTGAGCTTGCCGTAGCGCTCCTTCTCCGCCTTGAGAGGCCATATGCCTCGTCCTCTGTTTCGGTCCCCGGCATATCTGCCGAGTCAAGGCTGCAGCCGCTGAATTTGCGTCCCCGGCTTTGTTCCCCCGCGGGCTTCCACAGCTCGTCCCCGGTGTTTTGCTGAGGTCTCTCAGACCCCTCCTCTGGTCCCCTCGCTGGCGCCGGGGGGTTCCATGGCACGGTGTCGGCCAGGGAGCGGAGCCGCAGGAGTCTGTTGCCGAGTCCCCTACAAGTTGGATGTCATGACCCCATAGCCCTCTCGTCCACGACTGAAGTTGACTGAGAGCCTCAGCAGCTAGCGGTACCTGGTCCCCCGCCAGTGTCGGCATGAGCTGCGTAACTAGCTGCTGCGCTCTCAGGACCATGTACGCCGAGCTTTCTTGCTGCCGCTGTGGTCCCCTGTTCTGCGACAG